AAGAGGGAGGAGAGAGGAGGAAGGAAAGAGGAGAGAGGAAGGGGGAGGGAGGAGGGGGGAGGGAGTAGGGAGGAGGGTGGAGGGAGGAGGGAGGAGGGAGGAGGGCGCAGAGGGCAGAGCGAGGGAGGGAGGGAGGAGGGAGGAGAAGAGGGAGGAAGAGACCTGCCGCCGGAGATGGAGCCGCCGTCGGCTGCCCGTCGGCCTTGCCGCTGCCAGCCGCTATTCCCGCGCGGCTGGTCGAGGTGCCTACCGACGAGAAGGCCCCGCGGCGCGTCCGAGCTCCGATGAGGTCCGAGGGGAGGAGGGCGCAGGCCGGCTGGTCGAGCTGCTACCTACAGGCGAGAGGAGGTCCAAGAACGCTTGGCGCCGACCGCAGGAGAGCCCGTCCCACCGCGGCCGGGCCGGCGCGCCGTTTGTAGTGGCCGCCGATCGGGTAGAGAAGGTAGTTGAGCTCCGTCTCGAACGGCGCGAGCCGCGGCAGCGCCGGCAGCGCCGCAGCCTGACGGACGACGGTCGGGTGTCGGCGCTGGTCGGTGGCTAGAGTCGAACGAGTCTGGCTGGAGGAGAAGCGGCGCGGGCGAGTGAGGATGGCCGCGAGGCAGTGTTCGATGGCACACACCTCCAGCTCGCGTCGCAGTCCGTTCACCGCGCTGACGAGTCCATCGCGCTCAGTGACGGAGCCGGCGGCGTTGCGAGGCGGCGGGTAGATGCTGCACTGACGAGATCGCCGCACTTCAGTGTCGACGCGTGCCGTCCCAAAGTTGACGGAGCCTATGTACCGAGAGACGCGTCCGATCACCGAGGAGGTCCGAAAGCGGTCCAGCGCGGCTGGTCCAGGTGCGTTGCCGACGGCGGACTCAAATCCACTGTCGGCGCCGACGGCGACCGCGTCCGCCTGCAGCCTTCCGGTTTGCGCACGCGTGAGCCAGTCTGGCACGACGACGTACCTGTGGCGGTGCAGCCTCTCCAGCTCGCCTGTCCGCAGCGGCCGCGCAAGCAAGATCATGACAGAGGGGAAGCTCCGCTGTGCACATGTGCTTGGCTGAGATGAAGAAATTCGCCGCTTCCGCATCCCGGGGGGAGGCAGAAAGCGGGCTATGGCGGAGGAGACGCCAGCCGTGGACTGCAAACGTGCGTGCACCGGGAACCGGGACGAGGTGGACGCAAAGATGACGTTCCACGCCATGAGCCTCGCGCAGCTGCAGCACGAGGCCGTCTCGGCCGGGGGCCTCGAGGGAGCGGACAAGGCGCAGGCGCTCAAGATGCTGCGTGCGGGTGCGATCGGCGTCACGATGGCCACCGCTGCGACGCTCGACGGCCGGCCGCTCGTTGGCGCGAAGCAGATGGCGGGCGTCACTGCCAAGGCGGCGAAGGAGGCGGCGATGAAGCGGCGGCGGGAGGACAAAGCGGCCTCCTCGGCGGCTGGGCGAGCGGATCGGCGCGAGAGGCACGAGGAAAAGCGGGCGCGGCGCGAGGTGGCGGGCGGCAAGCGCGGCGGGCAGGGCAAGAGTGCGGGCGGGCGGGCGGAGCGGCGCACGTACACGGCCGCACCGTGGCGCGCGCGGCGCGGCGGCAGGAGGAGGATCGTCGGAGGGGCAAAGGTGGCTGGCGGCGGCGTCGCAGGACGAGGCAGAAGAGAACGACGCGACAGAGGAGGAAGTGACAAGGGAGAGACCGACGAGAGTGGGACGGCCGCGAGGTGGCATGAAGGTTGCAGCGAGAAGCGGCGAGAGACTGCGAAAAGAGATACGAAGAGGCAGACTCCCCAGGGTGGGCGACGGCTAGCGCACCACACTCCTCTCCTTAAAATCCCTGTGTGGTGGCGGCGTGCCGTTCTCCCATCCCTCCCTTGGGTTGTGTGTTTTCTTTCTTTCTTTCTTTCCCCCCCCCCCCCGCAAGCCACGGGTCACGCGAGTGTCCTTCTTTGCGCCGACAGAGGGGGCTTTTTCATGGTGGTCCTGGCGTCTTCGGGGACTAGAAGTCTGCGTCTGGTAAATGGGAGGCCAGTCCGAGCCAGTCCTGTGAGAGGGAGAGATTTTTAGCAATACCAAACAACTGTTTGTTGTGAGAGGGTGGACTTGGAGCACTTGGAGTGCCTGACGTAAAATTCGCGTTGTATGTAGTGTTGTGCGAGGGAGTTGGGTTGTAAACTTTCCTCGTGTTGTGCGAGGGAGTTTTGTTGTAAGATTCTTTCCTCGCACCTGTGTGCTAAAGAAAAGAAAGAAAACACACAACCCAAGGGAGGGATGGGAGAACGGCACGCCGCCACCACACAGGGATTTTAAGGAGAGGAGTGTGATGCGCTAGCCGTCGCCCACCCTGGGGAGTCTGCCTCTTCGTATCTCTTTTCGCAGTCTCTCGCCGCTTCTCGCTGCAACCTTCATGCCACCTCGCGGCCGTCCCACTCTCGTCGGTCTCTCCCTTGTCACTTCCTCCTCTGTCGCGTCGTTCTCTTCTGCCTCGTCCTGCGACGCCGCCGCCTGCCGGTCCCTTGTTCTCGCGGCTTCTTTCGCCTAGTTTTGTTGTAAGATTCTTTCGCCTTGCGCAACCTGCGCTTTGCTGAATTCTTTCCTCGCGATGTCCACCCCGCCGCGCCGCCGCTTCCGCCGCCTCGCCGCCACCTCCTCCACCGCCCCTTCGCCAGACACGCCGCCGCCCGCCCGCCTCCTCGACCTCCCCACGGAGCTCCTCGTGCGCGCCGTCTCTCGCCTCGACGGCCCCCTCGACATCGCTCGCGTCGCGGCCGTCTCGCTGCTCTTCCACGCCTCGCTTGCGGTGGAGGGCATCCGCTTGTGGGCGCAAGAGCGCGGCTTCGAGCTGCCGGCGCAGCCCGAGGACGAGAGCTGCGCCGTGCGGTGGCTGTGCTATGCGGCGTTGCTGCGCGAGTCCAACGCGCCGGCGAGGGCGGCGGCAGGCGAACGGCACAGCGTCTTCATCGACGGCGAGGGGCGGCTCTCGTCGTGCGGCAATGAGGCAACGGAGGGCGAGGAGGACGACGAGGACGAAATGTATCAATATTCAGGGCTGCTTGGCCACGGCGAGGGCGTGACGCGGCTCAACACGCCGACCCGCCTCCCCGCTCCTCTCCGTGCCGTGAGCGTGTCGGTGGGAGATGCCCACAGCCTCGCCCTCGCCGCCGACGGAGCTGTCTGGAGCTGGGGCTATGGAGGCCACGGCCAGCTGGGCCACGGCGACGAGGAGAGGCAGCTGCTTCCCAAGAAGGTCGAGGCCTTTGCTGGCCAGCGCGTCGTCGCTGTGTCGGCTGGAGGGGCTTACAGCCTCGCCCTCACCGCCGACGGCACTGCCTGGAGCTGGGGCTATGGTTACTCCGGCATCCTGGGCCACGGCAACACGCAGCGCCAGCTGCTGCCCAAGAAGGTCGAGGCCTTTGCTGGCCGGCGCGTCGTCGCTGTGTCGGCTGGAGGCCAGCACAACCTCGCCATCACCGCTGACGGCGCTGTCTGGAGCTGGGGCTATGGTTACTCTGGCATCCTGGGCCACGGCAACACGCAGCTACAGCTGCTGCCTAAGATTGTCGAGGCCTTTGCTGGGCGGCGCGTCGTCGCTCTGTCGGCTGGGTGGCAGCATAGCTTCGCCCTCACCGCCGACGGCGCCGTCTGGAGCTGGGGCTGCGGTTGGAATGGCCGCCTGGGCTACGGCGACCAGCAGCACCAGCTGCTGCCCAAGAAGGTCGAGGCCTTGGCTGGCCAGCGCGTCGTCGCTGCGTCGGCTGGAGCCCGGCACAGCATCGCCCTCACCGCCGACGGCGCCGTCTGGAGCTGTGGCTATGGGGTTGGGGGCAAGCTGGGCCACGGCGACGAGCAGCCTCAGCTGCTGCCCAAGAGGATCGTGGCCTTGGCGGGGCAGCGCGTCGTCGCCTTGTCGGCTGGGTGGCAACATAGCCTCGCCCTCACCGCCGACGCCGCTGTCTTCACCTGGGGCCAGGGCGAGGACGGCTGCCTGGGCCACGGAGAGGACCTGTCGAACCAGATGTTGCCCAAGAAGGTCGAGGCGTGGGCGCCGGGGCAGTGATAAGAAGGGCGAAAGGGTGCAAGGCTCTGTGTTGCCGCGTTGCCCACGTGCCTACCGCCACCTGCGACGTATGCGAGAGTTGCGAGAGGCGAATTCGGGACGGATGAGATTGATGCATGGTCCACCCTGTCTCACTGGTTGGGTAGTAGTCTAAGTTCTGAGCCTCGAGGCTGAGCGGGTCTAAGTGTGACTAGTCACGCTGGGGTGCTTACGCGGTCTAAGATCAGCGAGAGCCTCTTACATCGGCTAAGTCGGCCGTGGCACAGCCTGGGGCCAAGAGGCTCCCACCGTGATCAACGATACGGCGCTAGCCCGCTACTAGCCCCCAAATTTTCTTCGCCTGCGGCGGGCGCCTTCTAATCCGGATCGATCCTTCTCATGCTCAGCAATCGCCGCCTCAGCATCCTCCTCTTCCGATTCTCGTTGCTCTTCTTGAGCGCAATCTTCAAGCCAAACAGTTCTCACAAATAGCCTCAAGCTCAAACAAACGCATGTCAAGGAAGCCTGTGTATGCTGGTCCTCTTTGAACGATCCGCGCGTGAGGTAGATCTAGCATAGGGCCTTGTTGGCAGCAGCCAGCTTGTTGCGCTGCTTCGTTGCGATGAGCTGATTGGGATCGCAGAAGTGCATGCCAAGCACCGCCACGATCTTGAAGCAGAACACATCGCAACCGCATCGTCCGCACTGCCATCGACATGCCGCGCCCGCCGCTTCGCCGCAGCCGCCTTAAGACACGCATAGCGGCAGCACATGGTACGGTGCGCGTACTTGAGCAGGAGTTGCGCGCCGCAAGTAGCGCACTGGCCCTGGGACAAGGCGATATGGCGTCGTGCGCGGCATACGTTGGTCGGGACGCGTCCAGGTATTTTTCAGGTAAACCTGGACTTTTGCAGGTATACCCGGGTTTTACCCGGATTTGGCCTTGTGCCGTCTAAGTTCATGGCCCCCGACCATACAGCGTCTAAGTCCGAGCCCGGCTCCGTGCGGGGGCTAAGTTGAGCGCTCGCTCGCTGCAGAGGCTAAGTGTAGAGCGACCCTCTAGCCCTACTACCCAACCATTCCTGTCTCCTGGTGTTCACAGGCGGTGATGTCCGAACCCCGAGCCCGACAGACATGAATGTACCGTATAGAGTGCTCTGCTTTGGAATTTTATTTTTCGCTTTCTCGCGATGTGTCGGCGGGAGGCGGGCCCTCTCTCTCGTCTGGAGGTGGAGCTCGGGCGGTGGAGCTGGAGAGGTGGAGAGCCGGCGCGCGGCGGCGGTGCACATGCGCATGGCGATGGGCAGGAGGACCGGCAACACCCACAAATATTTGTGACGCTAATGTTCGAACGAGTGGTCGTGTCGTACACCTCGGGTGTTGGGGGGGTCGTGGGAGCCGCTCAGTACCATTTTGGGGACGCACGAATTCGCCTACGCGCGCTACGCCAGAGAGGACAAGGACACGTCGACGTGCAGCTGCTCACACCTCACAGCTTGCTTTCCTGATTTCTCCTTCCTCCTTCCTCCTCTCTCGCCGCCTTCTCCCGCTCCACTTTCAGAGCGAAGGGGTCGCCCGCGGCCGCTTGGGCCGCGAAGCTGCGCTCCTTGTACGGCACCTTGTTCCTGCATTCGGGCGGTGGCTTGTTCGGCACAAAGCCAGGCCCCGAGCGGCCGTCGCGTCGCCGTGGCCGTGGCCGCTCGTCGTGTGCTGTCCATCCGGGCCTGCGCTCGAAGGCCAGCGGATCGCGCGGCTGCGGCTTACTCGGTTGGTGGAGGCGGCGCCCCACGCCAAAGCGCTCACGGCTGCGATCAAACTCGCTCCGACGGTCTTCGCGCCCCCGGTGCTCCTCATAGTGGCGTTGATCGTCATGCCGGCGTCCTCGCCAATCGCCATGCCAGTCATCATGACGCCGATCATCATCACGCCTGTGCTGATAATCATCTCGAGGCCGCCTCTCGCTGCTTCCTGGCGCTCGACCTGGTCGCGCCGCTCCGCAGCGGAAGCAGGACATCCTCGAGGCAAATACCTTCTCCATGCCGCAAGCTGCACAAGTCCAGTCTTCGTCGGTTACGGTGGACCAGCATGCGCCTACCTTCTCGGCGTTTGACGGCTCCTCAAAAAGATCCGACGGCAGCAATGCGTCCATACTTTTCTGGCTGCGAGATTGTGGCCTGTGTGGCCACTGACCTGCCGAGATGGATCTCGAGAGGATAGCCTTGTGTGGTCACCGACCAGCCTGGGATCGATCCAGCGATCCACCGATCCTCGAAAGGCACACCGCAACTACGCGCTCCTGATTCAGGACAGAAGGGGGTGGGGAGGTAGACGCCAGCCAGGCTCGGGCCTGGCGAGAAAAAAAATGCAAGGTTCGCCCGCCGCTGGGTTTCGGCCCTGGCGAGTAGACCACGCCTCACTTTTTCACATGCTTTTCGCTGCGCATGCTCGAGCCCCCGGCGAGGGCTTGTGCTGTGAATAGCAGGCGTGGTCTCTACTCGCCAGCCCTATCGACAGTGAGAGGGTTGATTGATACGGAACGGGGCGCCCAACACGTGCCCGGATTACTGTGCCTTCCCCGGGTGCAGCCTTTCGGTTCGTGAAGGGTCGGTGCGAGTCGTGCTTTCCTCGATCCCCCGCCCTCCCCCGCCATCTCCGCCGCTTTGGCTCTACAGCCACCACCGGGAGGCGGCGAGGCGAAATCAGACTCGGTCGAGAGACCCCAGATTGGCATCCATGCCTCTCTGGACAGGGTGGCCCGCCACAACGACCCCTGGAATTGCGACTCGCCGCTTTCCTCCCGCTGTGATTCTGTGTGAGCTCTGAGTCTTGTCTGCCAACAATACACCTGTGTGAGCTCTGTGTCTTGATTTGCCAACAATATACCTAAAACCTAAGATTGATGAGAGGGTGCCCGAAAGAAAAACCTCGCGAGATGAGTATGTCGGCACTTCTGACCTGTGCTGTGAGCTCGGCAGGCTTCCTGCTCAGCCCGCAGCAGCTGGCGCCGCAGCAGCTGCGTGCGACCACCACCGGTGCGCGTGCACGCCCGCTCTTCGCCTCACTGCGGCGGCTTCTCTGCTTTCGTCCCTGTCTTCGCCGGGCTCAGCCAGTTCCCGCCTGTGTCCTCCTTAGGACCGACGGTGCTGGCCCCTTTGGTGCCCGCGGGCGCCCGCAGGGCGCTGCTCGTGGCGAAGGAGGGCGGCGGCAAGAAGAAGGCTTCCAAGGCCAAGGAAGCGCCTGCCGTGGAGGAGAAGGAGGCGCCGGCCGCTGAGAAGAAGGCGCCGCCGCCGCCGGACATGCCGCCGCCCTCTGGGTTTGAGTGGGGCCCAACCTTCTAGGAGCGACGCTCCTTCGCCTCTCTCTCTCTCTCGTCCTCGCTCTCTTCTCGCCCTCTCTCGTTCTCTCTCTCTCTCTCTCTCTCTCTCTCTCTCTCTCTCCCCGCATCAGCAATTACTGCTCCGCTGCCGCCGGCGTGTAGCGCATGCTGTTGACACTAACCATGGTTCGGCGGGTGTGCTACGTGATGTACTTGCCATGGACTCACTGTGGCGCCGTGTGCATACACTGAGCTCTCGGCTCTCCGCACTCCGGCCGGGCGTCTCGCTCGGGGCCGCAGACGCCAGCGTGTGAGGTGTGTGCGTTTCGCTCGCTCTCGCCGCGCAGCCGCATGTGGCCGACGATTTTTTGCATGCCAAATACTACATGTACATGCAACAAGAGAGAAGTACGAGAGATAGAAGAGCCCACTCTCGATCTCTCTCTTCGTCTTCTTCGCGCGGCGTGTGGGGGCGGACACTGCACACACGTGCACACTGCACCCCCCGGGGGCCACCTGCACCTCCGCGTCGCGCGTGTGTCACGACTCCTAGCGCGCACTCTCACACCATGTCAAGACACAGGGCTCTACTGTTCCTCTGCATGCTCCATGTCCATGTGAGTGTGTATGGCCATGTATGTTGTACGCGGGTGCACATGCATGTGATCAACAGACGGCGGAGCGGGTGTGCATGTACAGGTGATCACAGGACATGCTGGTAGCGGCTTCCTAGAGCCACGCCGCGTCCGCTCCTGGTAAGTTCCGTCCGTCACCATGATCACGCTCTGAGAGTTCTGGCGGGGCGTGTCCCGTTGGCGCAGTTGACAGTGCAGCTAGCCGCTGCATTTCTGCCGCCGCTGTCCGTCAGACCATGATCGCGGTCGAGATGCCGCACGAGCGGAGGCGGTCGGAGGCGGCATCGCGCTTGCGCTGCTGCTGCAGAGCGTCGGCCGCGGGTGCCAGCGAGGGATCCAGGTGGCTTGCAGTCCGGAGAATGTGCGCCTCGGTGACGAGCTCGCGAGAAGGCCGCCGCCCAAGTTTGCGACCGAGCCGGTCGTGCCGGAGGCTAAGCTCGAGCTTCTCGGCCGGCCCCGCCAGACACGGCGAGACGGAGAGCGAAGTTGGCTTCATCACCCCCGCGTCGACGAGGTCCCGCAGTGACGGGCGCTCGGAGAGCTTTCGGTTGAGCACGTCCTTTGTGAGCGCGTGCTCAAGCCGGATTGAAGTGTCGGCGAGGCGCGGCGACAGCTTTGGGCTGACGGTGAGGCCCACCTCCCCGAGGCGCGAGAGCGTCGGCTGTGTCACAGTCATCTCTTTCAACCCCAAATCGCCGCCCGCGTCATCATCACCTCTCACGCCTTGGCGGAAAAAATACCCCATTAACGAAAGCCAGGCGAGAATAAGCCGATCGAGACGGTGAACGAAGCGGCGCAGGGTCCAAGGACAAACAAACAAGCGAGGACCCCGTGTCTACGCGGCTTGGAACGACTGCGTTCAGTGTCGAATGCTGCTCTCTCCAGGTGTCTCACCGCTCGGTGACCTCGAGGTCCAGGACCAACGTGCTCCAGACCACGGTCTGGATGCCGTGGCGACAGGCACTTGGAGGCGTGTCGCGTGTGGGCCATTGAGCTGCCAAGCTGCAGGCTGAGGCACGTGAGAGAGACCTCCGTACGCTGCTCTCCGTCGCGCGAGGTGGCATGAAGGTTGCAGCGAGAAGCGGCGAGAGACTGCGAAGAGAGATAGGAAGAGGCAGACTCCCTAGGGTGGGCGACGGCTAGCGCATCACACACCTGTCCTTAAAATCCCTGTGTGGTGGCGGCGTGCCGTCCTCCCATCCCTCCCTTGGGTTGTCTGTTTTCTTTCTTTCTTTGCCGCCAAACTCGGTGCCGCGTGGTTTGGAAGAAAAGTTGGGTTCCCCTTACAGGATATGATGGAGTGACATTCTGGCCAGGTGACCAGTCATAAAAAGAATTGATTCCAGGGTCTGAAAAAATAGCGAAGAGAAGTGACTGCCGCCACCCTCCTCACTGCCGCTCTCCTCCCCGCCGCCCTCGTCCCCGCTGCCCCCTCCCTCGCGGCCACCGTCTCCGCCGCTCCCTCCCTCGCGGCCACCGTCTCCGCCGCCTTCGTCCCCCCCCTCTCCGACGCCCCCCTCTCCGCCACCCTCCCCTCTGCCGCCCCCCCCTCCCTCTGTCGCCCGCCTCTGTCTCCGCCGCCACCCCCCACGCCGCCTTCGTCTCCGCCGCCCCCCTCCCCGTCATAAAAAAACTGTTCAAGTCTTAAAGGCAAAACACAATGCTCTGCGGTTGGTGCACCCCTCACACTGACACATTCCCCTCATCCCTTACCCTTGGCTGAGCACATCTACCTGCGAGCTAGTCTCTCCGCATTCTCTCCCCTAGTCATCCGCCCGCGCCGCGCGCCATCTAATGGGCGTCTAGTGCAGCCACTGACGGCACTATTCCAAAGGAGCGGTCGATGCCTCGCCTAGAGTTCGGGTGGACTTGCGCACTGCTTGCCCTGAGGGGGGAGTGTGTGTGAGGTGGTGTAATGTTGTCCCGTTTCAGGCGGCAGGTCAGGGGATTAGCCGGGAGGATTCGGCAGCTCAGCCGGGGGCTGACTGAGCGTTTGCAGGCAGCCTTCCGCCCGCGCCGAAATTCACAGCCCTCCCGGGCCGACGGGGTGCTCCTTGGATCGGGCCCCGCTCCCCGCTTTTCCTGTACCTGGACTGTCCGGGTCAGGAGGGTGAGAGTATTGGGTGGGCGAGGGCAGTACATCTGGCGGGTGGCAATTGAGGGATAGCAGGTGGGTCGATTGGGGGGTCAATGGGCGCGCGGGCGGCGCTTCGTGGTCCTGGGCGAGCAGGGGAAGTGGTTAGGAGTCTTGGGCCCGGAGATGAGGATTGTCGAGATGTCATGCGAGAGCGGTAGGTGGGCGGAGGTAGCGCGGCTGGAGAGTGGTGTCCGAGGGACAATGGTGAGTGTTGTCAGTTGGGGCTCGAGACGCGCGGGGCTCATACTACAGGGTGCTGGTTTGTGAGCTGAGTGCATGGGGTGTATGAGATTCAGAATTTTGTGGCGTCGAGGTTTGTGCATTGGTGGCTTAGCGGTCAGAGGTTCGCAGCGGGGCCGGTTGGCTGCGGGTTCGAGGCCGGGCGGGGGGGGAGGGGGGAGGGCATCACCTCACCCTCACCCCTCACCATCCTCAAATCCTCGAGATCCTCGAGATCCTCGAGAGCGTCTGCGAGCGTTGATGTCGTACTGATTTTTGCGCGCGAGCGTCGCGATTTTTGGTCTGGTTGGTCCGTCGTGGCCGGTGCGCGGGAACCTGGCTGAAAACCCGCGCAGCCAGCCGAGTGTACGACCGAGGTCGCCGAGCCTTGGCGACGCGACGCGCACGTCGCAAAGGAGTTCGTAAAATGTCCGAGGTTTTTTCTCCCTCCTCCCCCGTCGCCCTCCCCTCCGCCGCTCCTCCCTCCGCCGCCCTCCTCCTCGCCGCCCTCCCATCCGCCGTCCCTCTCTCCGCCGCCCTCGCCTCCGCCGCCACCCCCTCCCCCATTCGCATCTCCGCCGCCCTCATCCCCGCCGCCCTCCACTCCGCCGCCCTCCCCTCCGCCGCCCGCCTCTCCGCCGCCCTCCCCCTCGCCGCTCCCCTCTCCGCCGCACCCCTCTCCGCCGCACCCCTCTCCGCCGCACCCCTCTCCGTCACCTCCGTCTCCGCCGTCCCCCTCTCCGCCGCCCTTGCCTCCGCCACCCTCCCTCCTGCCGCCCTCCCCCCCGCCGCTCCCCACTCCGCCGCCCCCCTCACCGCCGCCCCCCTCTCCGCCACCCTCGTCCATGCCGCCTCCATTCCCGCCGCCCTCGACCCCCACAGCTCGCCCCGTCGCCGCCCTCCTCTCCGTCGCCCTCCCCCCCGCCGCCCTCCCCTCCACCACCCTCCTCTCCGTCGCCCCCCTCGCTGCCGCCTCGGCGAGGCAGCTCGGGGCGGGCGCGGTGCTCGGCATCGACCTGATCAGCCCCGCCGTCGAACTGCACGACCAGGCGTCAAGGCTACCTCAACCACCCCAAGGGCGCCATCACCCCCGAGACGCGCTGCACCGGCGTGGGCGCTAAGACAGAGTGCATCTACCACCGCTCGGAGCTACCTGGATGCATACCGTGCGACATCGGCAAAGCGCAAGTGCACTCGACCGTCATCGCGAGGCGCAACGCTGCCATCTTCGACAACAACGCGCACCCGAAGATGGGCGGCGGGATGCCGCGGGCGCCTCCGGAGCAGTTCGAGTAGGGGCGGGCGGAGGGGGGCGGGCGCTAACCACGTTACTACTAACATGCCGGAGGTTCGAGGGCGACTACTCGCCGCCTGGGTCGTTTGGGGCGCGCGGCTCCGTCGAGGACCGGGCGCGCCCCCTACCCGGCGCGGCGTAGGTCCCACTCTGACGCAAAGAGGGGAGGCACGGTCGACAGCCCAATCCATCGATTACACTCATCTTCTGGGGCTTGATTTTTTTACAGCGGTCCGGCAGGCTGCCCCCAAGGCCCCCCGGGCCACTGCGGGTTTGGGAGTTATGCTTAGGCACAGCTTCGGCGATGGCAGCCCCTCTCTGGGGTGTTGCATAGGCGTGGAGTCTCCCCCGCTGGTCTCCTCCTTCCCATTTTTCTTTTCTTTTGAGAGCAGGACGCCGGGTTTGTCTCGAATGTGTGCGTGTCGGGCCTGGGTGTACGTGCGGAGCGGAAGGGGGTGGGGGTGTGCGGGGCAGAAGCTCAACGGTCGAGACACACACTCGGGGCCTGTTGAGGCTGAAGATCACGAGGGGGGAACGAGGAGGGGGGAATGGGCGGTCGGCGATGGGGTATGATGCAACCGGGCGTACGGGGGGTAGTCGTCACACCCTCCTGCCTCAAAAGGGCGGGGCTGTCCCGGAAAGTGAGAAACGCCGGGCAGCGTGACGCACAACTTTACCCTCCCGTACGTGTTGGGCTCCTCCTTCGCTGTCCCATCTCCTCATCTCTTTCCCGCCTGGGGCGGGGCGGTGGCCGGGCACGCGGTGCGGTGCGGCGTGTGCGTGCGTGAGCGTGTGTGTGACTGCGACAAACAAGGGAACATTAACGAAGGCGACCAGGGAGGGAGGGCGAGACGATCGAGGGGTCCCGTACCATGCGGAATCGGTCAAGGGCTGGCTCAGTAGGTAGGTAGGTATGTAGAAAGGTGAAGAACAGCCAGGCTCGGACTGGACACCAACGCGGTATGGGTGGAGAGAGAGAGAGAGAGAGAGAGAGAGAGAAAAACCGCCAATGGCAGTTATCCGTTAGTGCGGACGTCGCCGCGGCTCGCCTCTGCCGCGGCGGCTGCTGCGCGCACGCGGCGGCGCCGCTCTCTCGCGAGACGGCTGGCGACGCGGCTCGCCGCCGACGTACGGTGCGCTCGTCCGACGGTCCGCAGCGTGGCGTGCGCGGCGCTGAGCGCCGCTCTGCGAGCGCCTCTGCGCCTGCACTGCCTGTCTCTGTTGGTGCTGGTGGTGGTGGTGCTGCTGCTGCTGGTGCCGATGCTGCTGCTGGCGCGGCGCGGCTGTGCGACTGGGCTCGACGCGCGCGTCGCGAGCGTCTGACGCGGCGGGCGGCGTCGGGCAGGTGCGCTTCTCTCTCGGGTGGTGGTGGTGGTGCTGCTGCTGCTGCTGGTGGTGCAGATGCTGCTGCTGGTGCGGCGCGGCTCTCCGACGCGACTCGATGCGCGCGTCGTGGCTATCTGACGCGGCGGGCGGCGTCGCGGGCGGAAGCGGTGGCGGCTCGCGGGTGGAGGTAGGAGGCTGGTGGCTGTGGTGGACTTTGAGTTTACTTCATGGTCGAGTACGGGGACCGGGGGGTCAACCGGGAGGCAGGGGGTTCAACCAGGCGACGGCGGACCGTGGGCCATCGCGGGGACTGCTGCGTACGGAGGACGCGGCAGGCAGATCCGGATGGTCTCACGCCGGTGGGTGGCACCGAGGCGTCTTGGACGCTCAGCTCTACCTTAAGCTCCTGAGGGGCGCGTGGTTTTAACCACGTAGTAGGACTACAACCCACCACAGACACCCTCCCCACTCCTCACGTGTACACACTCCCTCACCCTCTCCTCTCTCCTCTCTCTCTCTCCTCTCTCTCTCTCCTCTCCTTGTCTGTGCTGTCTGCCTGACTCAGGCACTAACTCTGCCGATGCGTGATTGTGTGTGGGCTGCTCCGAGGGGGCCCTCTGTGCGATCCGACGGGTAGGGGGGCTGTGCCCGGGCGGTGTCCGGTGTGGAGTCCCCTTCTGATCCCGCCTGGGATGTTGGGTGCGAGGTCGTGGAAGCTTCGATCCCAAGGGGGGGAG